AAAAAAAAAAAAAAAAAAAAAAAAAAAAAAAAAAAAAAAAAAAAAAAAAAAAAAAAAACAGACTTTCAGCTAACCAGCTCAGGAATTTCTCTTGGCCCCTGGCCCAGGGGAGTGGGTCCCATGTGAATGTCTTCTGTCCTGTGAGTCACATGCAAAACAATAAAGAATCCCTCTCTCAGGAATTCTTTTAAACATATTGTTATTTTTAATTCACACATAATACTTGCACATATTTATGGGAACAGTGTGATATTTTGGTACATGTGTACCATGTGTAATTCTCAGACAATTATCCTGCCCCCGAAATCCTAACAATTAAGACCCTGGCAGAGAATACATAACCTGTGGAAGCCACAGTGTACTCAAGGCTGCTGGCGGTTGCCTGCCTAGACTATGAGGTGGGAGAGATGAGAGTCTCCTACCAAACTGAGAACCAGATGGCCAAGAACAGGGCAAGCGTGGACGGTCCCCAGGGTGAGGGATGGGCTGGGTGGTGAGGAGGTTGAGATGTTGTTCGTCTTGACTTCTCTTGTTTCACGGAAGAAACAAAGCACCTTTTACATTTTCTGCATTTCCATTGTTTTCTCAGATCTTTTCAGTATTATTCCTATATTTTTTAAACTTTTAATGGGTTCAGTTTTTTTTCTTAATAGGTTCAATTTATTATTTAGGTAAATATTTTAATGTAAATGATTTTGCTATGCTACATTGTCAGGCTTTTTTAACAGGGATTTTTAATTTAAAAATAAACCCACCTTCCTATTTCCGAGAAATGTAAACTTATTCAAACAGGCAGGACAAGCCAAAAGATATTCATTGGTGCAAGACATTCAGTACTCCTGAGAATAAACATTAGGCCACTCAACCAGGCACAACAGTGGTGGCAGAACTACTTTCTATTCACCAGAAATCAACTTCATTAATAATTTCAGCATCTGACATACCACAGGCTCATCATTTTTGTCAGTTACTTCCCTAACCATCTTAATATGCTAGGTATGAGACTAGATATATTAAAATATGCTTTCTGCCCTCAAACTCCACAAACCCTAGAGGTTTGGATTTTTATGTCTTTTGTGAGCAGTTAGTCACGATGAAACAAGAAACACACAATAAATGGAACAGACATATCCAGATCCTTTGGCACCAAGAATATTTCTGGCAGCCCATTATTCAGTTGCTGGGGAATTCTTTTAAAGCCATTAACCATGCTTTACATGGTAAGGTAATATTATTCACTTTCGCCAAAGCAGTCCAATGTGGGGAAAGAAGTAGAGAAAACAAAAGTAGCTGGCAGACTTCCTTAATTCAACACTTTTACAATGAGATTTATAATATAGAGAAGTTCAAAACATGTTATATTTTTCAGGAAAACCAAAACAGCAACAATAATTAAAAGGAAAATATGTAGCATGGAGAATGGACGTCCAGTCATCTCTTGGTATCCACAGGGAATCAATTCTAGGACCCCTTAAACCCCCAAATCTGCAGGTGCTCATGTCCCTGATATAAAATGGTGTAGAATCCGTATATAACCTTGCATCTCCTGTATACTTCAAATCATCTCTAAATTACCTATAATACCTAGTAATATATATAAATGCTATGTAAATAGTTGTTTATTGTGCTGTTTTTTACCTCTGTATTGTTTTTATTGTTGTATTAAAGGTTTTTCAAATAATTTTGATCTGAGATCAGTTGAATTTATGAGTGTGGAACCCATGGATAGGGAGGGCCAACTGTAATTTATAGAAGGGATTTTTTCCTTTCAAATCTTAGATGAAGTAGTTAGAAATAATGAATTCTGATTCTTCACTTTCTAAACTGTCCTTTATAGATCCAGTATCCAGTCAACAGAGAGAGTAAAGAAACCTTGAACTGGCCGAGCATGGTGGCTCACCCCTGTCATCCCAGCACTTTGGGAGGCCGAGGTGAGCGGATCACCTGAGGTCGGGAGTTTGAGCCCAGCCTAACCAACATGGAGGAACCCCCGTGTCTGCTAAAAATACAAAATTGGTCAGATGAGATGGCACATGCCTGTAATCCCAGCTACTCAGGAGGCTGAGACAGGAGAATCGCTTGAACCCGGGAGGCGGAGGTTGCGGTGAGCAGAGATTGCGCCACTGCACTCCAGCCTGGGCAACAAGACGAGATTCCATCTCAAAAACAAAAACAAATAAAAATAAATAAATAAAATAAAGAAACCTTAGA